TCCCCAATATTTCCAATGGAATCAATACGCTTTTCATTACACTTGCTGTAATGTATTTGGCATACATCTTTACAGATATGATCAATGAGCTCAGGAAAAACAAAACAGCTGTCAGCCAAAAACAGGCAACACTGTCTATTGTAAGGTACATCGTCCTGGTGCTTCTGTTTGTTCCCTTTTTTGTGTGGCAAGCTCGATCCTTCTACTCATCGTTCGCATTTTTGATAATTTTCAGCCAGTCATACTCATTGTGCTATTTGGAAGAGTACATTTCCTCTATGACAAAGTTCCATGCTAATAACAAGGTCTTTGTCGTTTCATATGCAATTCTCGTCCTCAAGGGCATTCATTTTTCATTTTCTGGCTCGGAGTACATGAACACGCTTCTTCTTGCCATTTCGTCATTTCATTTTGCCTTGAGATCTGGCTCCATTCTTAGAGACCTATCGCACCAGCTTAGAGTGAAGCTTTTTACAAGTAAATTTTGAGCTATACTGCTTATGTTTGAATAATAAAGTTTAAGGCCTGTTGGCAGTGGCAATCGGAGATGCTCCTGAGGTGCAACGCATTCAGACAAATATCAAAATATCAGAAACAGTCGACTCGTTTCAATACCAGTTGATAGTGCAAGTGCGCTGCTACTCCACTTATTGAGTACAGATGAATGCAAATGTCTTTTGAAAATTCTGCCCATGGAGGATCTAAGATCTTTGGTACAGAACGAGGAGCACGAAAAGATTCTGCAGCTAGCAAGCCCAGAGTACAACAGATACAAGGTCATTGCAGCCATCCAGCTTGAAAAATACGAAGAAGCCTTGCTATATGCCTCCAAGGCCTCTTTTGAGCTTGCTTACATTCATTACAAACTTAAAAATTTTAAAAAAGCTTTGAAGGTACTGAGAAAACTGTCAGGAAAACAAGCAGACATTCTTAAGTCTCAGTGCCTGTACTTTTTAGGCTATTACTCTGATGCTTATGGGCTTCTGTCAAGGCATGGAAATTCAGATGAGTTTGCAGTTAACCTTGCTGCAATGGAGGCATTGGCATTCTTAAACAATAAGATAAAACCATCACTCTTCACGTCAAAGGATACAAAGATGCTTTCGAAGGTGCTGAAGTTACGATTTACAGATCCAGAATGTCTTTTGGAGGGCGAATACAACGAATCGTTTAAGTTTATTGAAGATGAAAGAAAGTGGGTCCAGATAATGATGGGCTTGCATAACAAGTACGAAATGGAGAATAGCTGCATTCAAAAGCAGCTCAAAAACTTGTCAGAGGTGTACGCTGATTCATTTTCAAAAAGAGAGACTGAGATATTCAACTTTAATATTGGAAGGGAAAATACTATTGCTAAGCCTGTGCTATTCCAATCAAACTTCATTGCGAATAACACGAAATCAGACTACCAAATATTTAAGGACTACCAGGTAAACACAAACGAGTATGTCTCGGGGAAGAAGACCTTCCAGCCATTTCACGATAGATTGAGACTACTGAAGTGCTTGATTATTGCAAAGAGAAAACCTACAAAGGAAAGATCAATGAAGATCATCAAAGCTCTTGAAAAAGTAGAGGAGTCGACTGAAAAGAAAGTTCTGAATCTTTTAGCATCAGACTTGCCAGAGGACGAATTTCAAAAGAAAGCGCTGGATCTAATATTTCAAGTGCCTGAAGAACAATAAATTTGTTTTAATTTAATTTTCAAGCAATATACCACAACCACAATAGACCGTTTATAGCACGTTATTGAGCTCAGTATTCTGGATTAAATTCCCGAGGCCTAATGGTTTCTCCTAATGCCGCATTGTCATTTTTATTTAGCCTGACAAATCTGTTGAAAATTTTAGAGGACGTCGTTTCAAGGCTGATCGGCGTCTTCAGTTTTTCATTATAGTTCTCATGTGAGTATCCATACGGGAGCGTGCTCTTGTATTTGTCACTTATCTCGGCATGCTCGTTAATAATAACATTGCTCTTCCTGTAGTCCTGCCTATCTGACATTTTAATGCCATCCTTCTTCTCAATGGTCGTGTTGAATTTATTTTTGTGAAATTCAATATCTTCGCCGGCCCAGTCGCCCCAACCTGGAAGGCAATGCTCAATAATCTGCGGCGCATCTTCTTGCACCACTTTAGCTTTTTCTAGTAGAAATTCCTTTTCATTGCCTTCAAACCCTGGCACTTCAAAGGCCTTGTCTACAAGACCCCGAGCAGAGTCGTTTGAGTCGTCACTGGGCGACTGGCCATAATCCTCTTCATTTGATGGGTCTTTTTTGTCTTTCTCAAAAGATATGACTGGCCTGAACTCCTGAATGTTGGAGCTTGTCTCCTCCGATCTGCTTGACTCTTCAAAGCACGCTTCCAACGCTTCTTCCTTTTTAATCTTGTCTTTTCTCTTCATTTTCCTGTATGTTTTGCTTTTGATTTTTCTAATTCTAGCCATTTTCCTATCAAATTCGTACCGTGCATTTTTCTTGGATATTTCTTCATGGATATTCCTCATCTGCAGGATGGCTTCAATGCTCTTCTTCAGCTCTGTACTTGGCACAGAATCAAAAAAGCTGCTTTTCTTTGAGTGCGTTCGAGCAGGCTTTGAAATGAAATCTTCAATTTCATCTTTGATTAGGCTGTAGGAACCATCTTCTTTGTTTTTTATAGGCTCCAAATCAACACATGTTCCATCATTTAGCTGTGCTAGCTCCTCAAGCATAAACTTCTTCTCTTGCATAATTCTGGGAGAGAATTTTTGCGGCTACTTGAGCAACAGATTCGTATGGCAGAAAAGGACTGAAGACAGATCATCTAGAACAGTAGCCTTTCCTCAAGTAGAATGGCGCACTCAACTGTATTGATAACCTCCTTCCCAGGTGGGTTTATATAGACAGGCTGCAGATGTTCAGCATGCAATAAAAGCTAAATCTGCTACACGACTGGAAAGTGCTAAGTGGCTTAACTATTTAGAGGGTTCTCATTTTAGATAAGGATTCTGTACCCCACACAAAACACATGGGCAAAAGCACAGAGCTGATGTCTCAAAAAGAAAAAGACTACATTGCACTGTGTTTCAATAGAAGCTACAGTTCGCTCAAAACAGATATCGACTACGGTTTGGTTTTGGACGGGAAAAAATAGACTATGATTCCAAGCAGGACAAAAAAGAAATCAAATCAATTTTTGGAAAGCACTTTAAGAAATCAAGGAAGTACTTTAGAGTCTCTGCAAATACAAGGACCTCCTTCTTAGCGGATGATTTGCTTGTTTCCCAGCTCTTTGAAATATTCACAATCTTAAAGTATGTTGATCTTGATTTACAAAGCACGGCAGAAATCGAAGAGAATATAATTTCGTATTTTGGAGAGTATTTTCGTATTTTGTGCAACAATCCAAAGACATTTGATTTTCTTGGGAGTTTTTTGAACACCTTACCAGAGCCAAAACAGCTCGAACTAATGAGACACTTCTTTATTAACTGCCACCAGCTCAGAAATGATGCTCTTTTATTTAACTTTCTTGATAAAAACATCGGCAAAATACCTGTGAATGACTCACTTATTAACCCAAGCTTGTGGAGTTGCAGCGCAGGTTGTCTGCTGGGGCTTTTTCTTGTTCTGAAAAACAACAAGATTCTAGAAGCAGTTTTGAATTCATTTTTAAATTCAGAAATCTTTGACTGTGAATACTTGCACAGATTTGTTGACATCCTTGCATCGCTGTGCAACGATAAGCAAAAAGCTGAAGTCAAGAAGAAGCTTAAGAGTGCCAAAATCTTCCATCCTGAAGACGCACCACTACAAAAATAAATGCGCAAGCTTTTTGATTTGATTCAAGGGTCTATGCTTGTTCTGTTTTATATCAGATTTTCATAGTTATAGATTCTAGTATCAGCTAGGTTGAAAGGCTGCAGATGCATCATCTTAAGTAGAAATCTGCATACTACTAAGCACTATTAAAATAAATTTAGAATACACTGGCTTGTGGCTACCAAGAGCGGGGTCCATCCCATGCGATATAACATCCTGCGCTCTTGCTGAGTTCTCTCCTGAAAATTTTTATCCCTGGAATTTTTAAGTTGCTTTTCTTATGGAATGTGATTAGTCATATTCCCCACATCTGCTGTTTCTAAGAACTAGTGGCTGTTTTTGGATGCTAGTGTCATAAAACAGGTACATTTTAATCTAAGGGTATTCATATTTCTTGAAACGTAGCTTAATTGAAATTTAAAATTCATATCTAAAACAGATTTGTTGGACTTTTTGATTGCTGCCAGAACATACATGCTGTAATATTCCAAGGAGTTGTCCAGTGTCACATATTCACCGTAACCTGGAAAACGAAGCCTGTTTCTCCTGTGCTGCTATGATGTGCGCTGTAACGCTAGTAGCCTGCCGCCCATGGATCTGCATGTTTGCACATTGCCGTCACTGTGCATCTTCTCTCCACTTCTCTGGCCCATTCGAATGGCATCGCTCACTAAAAAGCAGCAGAAGCAAAATCCAAGAAAACGGCATGATAAAGACGCATTGCCCAACGGTCAACCGAGAAAGAACTCAAAGAAGGCCGAAAGAGGGCCGACAAAGAAGGAAATGAGGGAGGAGTTAAAGAAGTCTGCAGCAGATAAGCGTTCAAAGCGTAAGCTGTTGAAGACTAGTAGTGGAGAGCATAGCAATTCAAAAAATAGCGATTCTAGGAAAGATAATGGCCCGAAGATCAAAGATAGCAAAGCTGGCAATGGGAAGGTTAAATCCCAGAAAAGCATGTCCGCAAAAGTTTTGTACAGCGAGGAAAACATCAACTCATTCTTGTTGGAAGCAAAAGGTAGTAAATCCAAGGACAAAGCAGTCAACATGCTCCTTTTTGTATTTAAGCACTTTAAAAACAGACCTGCCGAAATACTATCAAAAATTAAAATCTTAACGTCTGACAAGAAGACCGTATATGAAGGCAGCAGCTTGCATGATTCGGTACTGAAACATCTCTTTTGCTATTTTGGTATGGAGGGCTCGGTTGCCGAGTGTATTTTCTCGATGCTATCTACAGGCTCACTGCTTTCCAGGTATGTCTGTGATTTCTTATTTTCAACAACATTTGATAATGATGAGTATAATTTCTATTTTGAAAGCATATGCTCTGAGCTCTGCAAAACAGTCGAGAAAGTGTCTACATTTAAAATGGGTGACTATCTTGATCTGATAGGTGAAATGGATAGTGTGGACGATATCCAGACCTGCATCCCAGATATTGCTGAAGAGTCTCTGCAACAAAGTAGTAGTGTCGAAAATGGTTCCCATTGCATTGATCAGGGAGAAAGCGGACAGGCCTCAGTTCCAAACGGCGAGGATTGTGCGTCAGATCATAGTGAGTCAAGCATCTCACTTGTTTCACTGAATGATGATGCTGAAATAGAAAGACTTGATAGGCAAATTGGTAAGATGCTGAGCAGGGGCATGCTGTCAAGTCAAGACGAAACGTATGCTACTAACTTGACCAAATGTCTTGAATTGCTAGTACAGCACAACTATGCTGTTAAAACAGAAAACTTGGTCAAGATTCTCTATTTTGGACAGTTTGAATGCATAGCTAAGGCTGTCAAGTTTGTTGTTAAGGATTTACTGCAGAAGATCTGCGAACCAGAAAGAGTGTTTAAAATCTATCAGATGTGCTCGCTTGCCATTCCAGACAACTATAGGCTTTTCAGCACCTTTTTTACATACTGTGGCGATAGTTTTGATCTAAAAGCATTCATGATTCCTGTCCTTAATGCCGGGCATGAGGAATATTTGGTGAGTAGAATCGACAAGGATAAGTTCTACTCAATCTATGACAGCACTCTTGGCCAGCCGTTTGATGATTTCCTAATCTCTCTGGTTCAGACCGAGCACCGAAGAGAAAGGCTTCGGGAGCTTGAGGACCAGTACTTCAAACCTGAAATTAAAAACGCAATTTCCGGGACGTTAAAAAGACTGTCGACCAGTAAAGCAGGCAGCAAAAAGGACAATGAAAACGC